AGACCTACTATTTGATCCAGCAAATTCACCATTGGGTATTTACCCAAAGGAAAAACAAAGACATTTTATTAAAAAGACACTTGCACTTGAATGTTTATAGCAGCACAATTTACAATTTCAAAGATGAGGACGCAACCCAAGTGCCCAAGGATACATGAGTAGATTAATAAAAATATGGTGAACTAATACTTTTTGTAGTGACCTGGATGGAACTGGAGACCATCATTTTAAGTGAAGTATTGCAAGAATGGAAAAACAAAAACCTCATGAATTCAGTACTAAATTGGAACTAATAGATCAGCACTCGTGTACATATGGTAGTAAATTCAATGGAAATCAAGCAGGTAGGGAGGAGGAGGGGATGGGTCAATTCACATCTAGCAGGTACAATACACACTATCTGGCACACTTATGACTTTGACTCAATCTGTACAAAAGCAATTCATATAACCAAAATGTTTGTACCCCTGTAATATTCTGAAATTAAAAAAATGAAGAGATATGCAATATATATATGAAGACTCAGCTATAAAGATATTCATTAATTGATAAATTCTATGTAATTCCAAGAAAAATTCCTGCAGGATTCTTTGGGAAATGTAGTAAAATTGATTATAAGATTTATATGGAAGTATTAAAAATGTACAGTGATAGCTAAGAACATTTTTAAAAACGAGGACAATGAAGAGCTTACCAGTCATTTACACATTTCCAAATTTAATATTATAAAATTTAATTATTAGTTCAAACAATGTATTAGCAGAAGAGGAATAGATAAAAAGTGAAACAGAAAAAGCCTGTGCATATAAGACAAGAGATATCATAGATCAATGGGAGAAAGGCTGAACTATTCAACAAATGATTTTAGAGCAATTAACGGCTCTTCTTATAGAAAAGATTAATATTAAATCTATAGAAAGAAAAAAATTCCAGATGAGAAAAAAAGATCTAAAAGTGAAAAACTCCAAAACTATTAGAAGAAAATATAAAATATGAAAGACTTCCTTAAATAAAATAACATGCAAAACATAAAAGAAAAGTTAGGTATTGACGCCATCAAAATTTAAAACTTCAGTATAGCAGAATATAGCAAAAGACATAATGACAAAGTTAATAGACAAGAGACATACTGGAAGAAGATATTTGCAACACATATAACGAAGTACTATCTAGAATAAATAAAGTACTACAAATCAAGAAAATGTTATACAATCTAGTAGAAAAAATTACAGAAGAGGACATATGATAGCCAAAAAATGTATAAAATGATGCTTAACCTTATCAGTAACCAAAGAAAAATAAAGAGAAAATATGTCTTGTTTTTAGTCTGTCAAAAATTATTAGTTCCGACAACATTGCAAATTAGTGAGGATATAGGGAAACTAGTACTTTTATTCAATGCTGGTGGGAGTTGATCATGGTAGACAATATCCAACATGCTTCCAATCATCTTTGCCTCCTCTTGTTGTTCATGCTTCTGTATAGTCTTCTCCAACACTGAATTTTATCAGGGCTGGCCTGATAGGATAGAATATAGTACAAATGATGGTGTGTGACTTCAGAGGCTAGGTGATAAAAGGCATGTCAGCTTCTACCTTACTCTCTTGATTCTTTTTTGGGGAAACCAGCCATGCTGTGAGGACATTCAAGCAGCCCACTGGAGAGGCCCACATGGAAGGGAACTGAGGCCTTCTGCCAAAAGCCAGCACCAATTTACTAGCCAGGTGAGTGAGCTACTTGGAAGAAGATCCTCCAGTCCCAGTCAAGACTTTGATTGCAGCCTCAGCCAACATCTATTGCCAACTTCATGAGAGATCCTGAGGCAGAATCCCAGAACCACACAACCAAGCTGTTCCCAAATTCCCTACTCATAGAAACCATGAGCAATAATAAATTACTATTGTTTGAAACCTCTAAGTTTTGGAGTAATTTGTTACTCAGCACTAGACAACTAATACATTGATACAGCTACAATGGAACACAAATTGGCAGCATTTGGTAAAACAGAAAGTGTTTATATCCTATAATCAGCAATTCCATTCTAGCTGTATATACCCAGGAGAAATTCTAGAATATGTACATAAGGAGAACCAGACAAATGTGTTCATTGTAGCACTCAATGTTCATTGAAGTACTGTTTGTAATAAGGAAAAAAAAAAAACACCTAAATGTCCATCATTAGTGAAATAAATAAATACCTAAAGAATAGCTAACATTTATTATCTACCATGTGCTAGGTACATTCTATGCAATTCACATATATTAATTACAAAACAATCTTATTAAGTATGTACTCTTATATCTCCATTTTACAAACCAGAAAGCTGAAATATAGAAGGCTTACATCACTTCTCTAAGGGGTGTGTGTGTGTGTGTGTGTGTGTGTGTGTGTGTGTGTGTGTGTATGGCTAACAAGTAGTGGAATCAGGCTTTGAAATAAACTGTGATATGTTCTTAAGGTGGACTATACTGTGACACTTAAAAGGAATGAGCGAGATCTTTGTGTACTCATAGAAACAGCAAGGAACCAGTATAATTGCAGCAGTGTGATACCATTTAGTTAAATGAAATATACACAAAACAGTGTTACATACATATACACATACACACAATTTAAAATAGACTCCAAATCAGGTTATAGTTGCTCCTGGGGATGCTATATGGAGGTGGTTAAAGTAGACTTTAGATATATTAAATAATGATTAATTATGAGTGGTGAGAATATGGGTATACACTATTCTTTGTTCTATTCTGTATTGTTTAATGTCCTTAAAATAAAGAAAAACTACTGGCCAGGCGCAGTGGCTCACGCTTATAATCCCAGCACTCTGGGAGGCCGAGGCGGGCGGATCGTTGGAGATCAGGAGTTGGAGACCAGCCTGAGCAAGTGCAAGACCCCTTCTCTACTAAAAAAATAGAAAGAAATTATCTGGACAACTAAAAATATATATAGAAAAAATAAGCAGGGCATGGTGGCACATGCCTGTAGTCCCAGCTACTCCGGAGGCTGAGGTAGGAGGATTGCTTGAGCCCAGGAGTTCATTATTGCTGTGAGCTAGGCTGACGCCACGGAACTCTATCCTGGGCAACAGAGTGAAACCCTGTCTCAAAAAACAAAAAAAAAGAAAAAAAGAAAAAATACCTAGTTAAGTTAAATTTATAAGAATCAAACTTAATATGTTTAAGTAACTTTTCTTCTTCTTCTTCTTTTTTTTTGAGACAGAGTTTCGCTTTGTTGCCCAGGCTAGAGTGAGTGCCAAGGCATCAGCCTAGCTCACAGCAACCTCAAACTCCTGGGCTCAAGCAATCCTGCTGCCTCAGCCTCCTGAGAAGCTGAGACTAAAGGCATGCACCACCATGCCGGGCTAAATTTTTTCTATATATATTAGTTGGCCAATTAATTTCTTTCTATTTATAGTAGAGATGGGGTCTTGCTCTTGCTCAGGCTGGTTTTGAACTCCTGACCTCGAGCAATCTGCCCCCCTCAGCCTCCCAGAGTGCTAGGATTACAGGCGTGAGCCACCGCGCCCGGCCTGTAACTTTTCTTCTTATATACCAACCTTTATTAACAACTGATTAACTCAGAGTGACATATTCATTGGCTCAAAATGCAAATATTTTTCAAACATCTTCCATATGTGGGCATTACAGCAAGTGTTAGGTATAGGCCCTTACTTAGAAATGGTTTCCTGCCCTTATATAGCTCATTGTCTAATGAGGGAGACAGGCATTAAAGAAATAATCATTCCCCAAATAAACTCTAAGTTGTAGGAATAAAAAGAATGTCATGAAAGACTATAAATGTGATATCAAATTCAAGGGGGAGCAGGGATTATGGTAATTCACAGTAATCCATTTACAGATATAAACACATATTTACTGAGTACCTATACACCGAATAAGCACTCAGTTTGGATTATTTCTAATTCTTGTAACAGTTATACGTAGAAGCAATATTATTAGGTACCTTTTACAAATGATTTCACTGAATCAAGATTAGCATTACACACAGCAAGTGTGATTCACACCCAATACTGAGTCTATAACCTGAGCTCTTTAATTTTGAGATTACAGCAAAACCAAACTACTTTGGCCCCAGTGTGTCTCAAATCACTCTTTTCTTCTTCTGACTTTATCCTACATTCCAGAACTCTGTTCATTTTGAAGGGCAAACTCAACTACAGGAACTCTTTCAATATAGTTCCTGGAAACTTTTAAGTTGTGGAGATTAGTTATCAGCAAATTCTGAAATAATCTGAGCTTTCTTGATTGAGCAAGAGGCAAGTCACACCTCTGTGTTGTTTATGGACGAGTTAGTAATGACTTTGCCATTTTTGAGCACCCATTATGTGCCAGAAGGAGGATAAAAACATTTTTTTTTTTAGACAGAGTCTCACTTTGTTGCCCAGGCTAGAGTGAGTGCCGAGGTGAGAGCCTAGCTCACAGCAACCTCAAACTCCTGGGCTCAAGCAATCCTCCTGCCTCAGCCTCCCAAGAAGCTGGGGCTCCAGGCATGCACCACCATGCCCAGCTAATTTTTTCTATATATATTAGTTGGCCAATTAATTTCTTTCTGTTTTTAGTAGAGATGGAGTCTTGCTCTTGCTCAGGATGGTTTCGAACTCCTGATCTCAAGCAATCCGCCCCCCTCAGCCTCCCAGAGTGCTAGGATTACAGGCGTGAGCCACCGCGTCAGGCCGGGAGAGAATAAATTATAGTGAAGAAAATAGACATGATTCTCACTCTCACTGAGTTTACAGTCAGTTCGAAAGTCAGACATTTTGACAGTCAGACATTAGACAAATACTAATACATAAAAATATGTGTACAACTTATATAAACAATACTGTATAAAGGTGTGGAAGACTGAGCCAAGTGAGGAAAACATGAAAGACCTCATTTAGACTGGAGGTAGGGGATCAGAGAATTCTACCAAAAACCACACAAAAAGTGTTTTGTATGCTAAGATGCAAGGTGCTAAACCCTCCAAAAAACCTCACCTGGTGGTGAGATCTTGGCGCCCCATTGTCCCATCACAGGCTGGTGCGACTTTGCCTTGTTGGGGGCGGGGGCTGGGGCCCACAGACTTTATCCCGTTAATATATTGTTGTGGCGTGAGGGGAGCTTTCATCACTCGAACTTACTGATTTTTTCCTAGTGTCTTCCTTCTCAGCATCTTTACGCTCGATCCTCCGCTCGGCTGTGCAGTCTCCTGTCACGTCAATGTACTTCTGGAGCCTGATTTTGAGTTTTTCTCCTCTCGTGCCCTGCGAGCCTATAATTTCACGAAGGCAGCTCCTCGGATGGTTTATGTCCACACCATTTCACATGGCCACACAGTCCATTCCTTTCTGGCCGGCGGCAGGTGGTCTGGAGGAGCGCGAGCGGAGACGGGTGCCGGGCGCTCCTCACTTCTAGGCGGCCGTCAGCCCATTGCCAGCGCTCGGCGCGCGTTCCAGGCTGTCTGCGCCTGGGGCGCGCTGTGGGCCCGAGCTCGCTCCCGTCCCTCCTCGCGCCCGCAGCGGCCCGGACAGCGCGCGCCGCCTGCCGCTAGTTCTCAGGCCGCCCCAGTCGGCTCTCGCGGCGCGCGCACGGGACCGACCGGCCCAGATTCCCCACTCGGGCCAGCGGGCTCGCGGGTTCGCTCGCCCCGCCCCTAACACCCCCCTGGGCTCCGCCGCTGGGCGCTTGCGCGGGGCGCGTGGCCGTGGCCGGGGTCTCAGCCTCAGCCAAAGCCGCCGCCGCCTCAGTCAGTCAGTCAGTCCCCAGCAATGGCGGAAGGAGGTGAGCAAGAGGAGCTGCTGTCGCCACCGCCGGTCTCTCCGGCTAAGCGGCTGTGTTCGTGGCCCAGCCCACAGGCTCACCACCCTCGCGGTTCGCCCGGGGCAGCCAGTGGAGGAGTGGGGGGCGTCGGCAGCAGCTGCCTGGCCCTCGGGGCCCGCCCCCACCTGCAGCCGGAGTCCTTGCTGGACTGCGCCGCCAAGACGGTGGCGGAAAAGTGGGCGTACGAGCGGGTGGAGGAGCGCTTCGAGCGGATCCCCGAACCTGTGCAGCGTCGCATCGTCTACTGGTCTTTCCCGCGGAATGAGCGGGAGATCTGCATGTACTCCAGCTTCCAGTACCGGGGCGGACCCGGCGCCGGCGCGGCTGGAGGCGCCGCGGGGGCTTCGCCGGCCGAGGAGGGGCCGCCGCCACCCCCGGGGGCCGCCGCTCCGGCCGGCTCCGCCCCCGGGGCCACTGCGGCGGGAGCGTCCCCTGGGCTGGGCGCAGGGGCTGGCACGGTTGGCTGCGGTGGCGAGGGACTCCCGTTCCGCCGGGGCATCCGTCTGCTGGACAGCGGCTCCGTGGAGAACGTGCTGCAAGTCGGTAGGTGCTTGCCCGGCTCCTCTCTGGTCCCTGGCCTTCTCTTCGCAGGTGCCTCTCTCTGCCCCAGCCCTGGGCCGAGACACCCTGGCCGTCTGCCCAACTCCTGTACCCCTGCTGAAGGACAAACACGTCAGATAAACTTTTCTCAGCATTTCATTCAGATCCACTACTGCTCTTTTATCCACTGGCCGTCTACCCCCCATTCCTTTTTGTTAAAAGAGCGAATAGGTCTTTTTCACTCTTCATTCTATTCCTCACACCAAAGGCAAAGAGAATGGGGAGATATGCCTTTTTTTGATGTAATAATTTCGAAAATGCGTTTTTCTAATTTAAGTTTAGGGACTAAGAATTGTTAGTGAATCTGGAGCAAGCGGTATTGGAGTGTTTGAGGGACAGCCTGTCATGAGCAATCTGTAGTCCTAGCAGATTGAATCTGGGTGTAATTAACATGGGGGGGGAACCAACAAAATACTGCACGTTTCAGACAATTTTAATTGTCTGCTTTAGTATTTTTTCCCCTGGACCTGTGATGCTTGGGAATCTAGGCTGCAGACTAACAATAACCGAAGATGGAAATGTGACAGCTTCTCTTCTCCACGCCCCCACCCAAGGGAAAAAAAAGCCACACAATCTGGAATGGGGGTGGGGTCTCTCTTCCTCGTCAGACTGGGGTAAATCAAAAGCTGGTCACATTGGGTTTTTCAAATGCTTCTCATTTAACAAGTCATCGTATTTGCTTTTGTTTTATCTTTTTGTTTGTGGGAAAATGAAAAATGATTTCTTTTTGTTTTACTCCTTCCGAGCTCCTAGTCAGTTTGTTAATCATGTTAAATATATAAATACAGTGCTTCCTATTTGTGAAATGATTAGGGAGAAAGAGAAAAAGAATGACATTGTTTAACATTGACTTGCTGTGTGGAAAATTAAAATGCTAGTTTTTGTCTATTTGGATTATTACAGCATTCTGAAAGTACACATTATATTTATGCATTTTATTGTACAGTATATGCTCATATTTATAGAAGAAAACACTGATTTTTGAAAGGAGTTGGAGGGAGGTTGTTTTAGGATTAAACAAGCATGGGCAGACACGTACACACAAACTGCAAACATCTAGCTCTCTTCTCCACAGGTAAAACTAACATATTTGAAAATATTTTCCTTTGAAGAGTAGTACTTCATGGTGTTTTTATGTAAAGTAATCTGCTTCTGGTTATTGAAAATTATTGACTCTTCTGTTTCTTAAACAACATACCACAATTTGTTTTGCAAATGTGAAATGTAAATTTATCCCTTGCCAGAATATGGTGGCAGTGGAATGAGAAAGTTTTGTTTATTTGAAAGAGGTTAGTCCTTTATGTATTTGTGTATATTTTTGAAAGAATGACTTGAATAAACAGGTAATTAAGGTGTACAGCTTTAATACTGAAATGTTTAGAACATGAAAATGAGTAGAGGTATTTATTAATCTATAAACTTTAGTCTTTCTATGAGTTTAGTTAACTTTTAAGATTTTTTTATTTCAAAGTATTACAGGGGTACAGATATTTTGGTTAGATGAATTGCTTTTGTACAGTTTGAGTCAGAGTTATAAGTGTGCCCATAACCCAGATTATATATATTGTACCTAATATTAGTTGTGATTTTACCCATCTCATCGCAACCCCAATCGGATTGATTTCCGTTGACTTTTACTTCCATATGTGCACTTGAGTGCTGATTGATTAGTTCAAAATTAATAGTATTAAATGTGGTGTTTGTTTTTTCATTCTTGCATTACTTCACTTAGGAGAATAGTTTCCAGTTCCTTCCAGGTTGTTACAAAAGGTATTATTAATTCATTTTTATGGCTGAGTAGTATTCCATGATATACATATACTGCATTTTATTAATCCACTCATGAATTGATGGGCACTTGGGTTGATTCCATGTCTTTGTGATTGTGAGTTATGCTGCTATAAACATTCAGGTGCAGGTGTCTTTTTGATAAAATGTCTTTTTTTCCTTTGGGTAAATACCTAGTGGTGGGATTGCTAGATCAAACGGTAGGTCTACTTTTAGTTCTTTGAGGAATCTCCCTACTATTTTCCATAGAGGTTGTACTAGTTTGCAGTCCCACCGAGAGTGTGTAAGTGTTCCTTTCTCTCCGTATCCACGTCAGCATTTGTTGTTTGGAGACTTTTTTTTTTTTTTTTGCTTTGTTGTCCAGGCTAGAGTGAGTGCCGTGGCGTCAGCCTAGCTCACAGCAACCTCAAACTCCTGGGCTCCAGTGATCCTTCTGCCTCAGCCTCCGGAGTAGCTGGGACTACAGGCATGCGCCACCATGCCCGGCTAATTATATATATATATATCAGTTGGCCAATTAATTTCTTTCTATTTATAGTAGAGACGGGGTCTCGCTCTTGCTCAGGCTGGTTTTGAACTCCTGACCTTGAGCAATCCGCCCGCCTCGGCCTCCCAAGAGCTAGGATTACAGGCGTGAGCCACAGCGCCTGGCCGGAGACTTTTTGATAAAAGCCAATTTCACTGAGTTAAGTGATATCTCATTGTGGTTTTGATTTGCATTTCCCTGGTAATTAGAGGCATTGAGCATTTTTTAATATGTTTATTGGCCATTAGTCTATCTTCTTTTGAAAAACTTCTGTTCATGTTTTTTACCCACTTTTTAATGGGATTGTTTGCTTTTCTTCTTGCTGATTTGCTTGAGTTCTTTGTAGATTCTGGTTGTTAGCCCTTTATTCATCTTATAGTAACAGATAGATTTGAAATAATTTTCAAACTTGAGGGGGCAAATGACAGAGAGGAAGAGTTTTATAGAGGTATCTATTTTCTTTTATAATTTTTAAATTTTTTAAATATTAGCGGGGTGCAAATGTTTTTGGTAACATGTATTGCTTTTGTAATGCTTGAGTCATGGCTATAAGAGTCCCCATCACCCAAATAGTGTTCACTGTACCTGCAAGGTAGATTTTCCCTCTTCCCTCCCCTCCTCCGCTTGATTTCCACTGAGTTTTATTTCCCTCTGTGCACATGTGTGCTCATCAGTTAGTTCCAATTTCATAGTGAGTACATAAGGTGTTCGTTTTTCTATTCTTTACGTAATTCACTTAGTGAAGTACCTTCACTTAGGATAAGTGAAGTACCTATCCAAATTGAAATTGAAGTACCATCCAAATTGTTGTGAAAGGCATTAATTCATTGATTTTTATGGCCGAGTAGTACTCCATGGTATACATATACCACATTTTCTTAATTCACTCATGAATTAATGGCTACTTGGGCTGATTCCACATCTTTGCATTTGGCAGATTGGAGAAAACTCCAGACTTTTGCATATAATAAACTGATAGTGTTAAGTATGAGGAGTGGTTATAACATAAGTGTATCTTCTATGTTGACCATCTGTTTTGTGTGAAGAATAGTGATCTATCAGTTTTTTCAAATGAAAGCTTTAAACGAATTCTTATAAAAGGTGACTTTCTCAAGGTAGAGTTTTAGATTTTAAAGATAATAGATAAACTAAACATAGTAGATTTATTTTAGAGGTTATCTCTATTTCAGGAATTTTTAAAATAGAATATTATTTGAGTCAGTTAAGTAGTTAATACTAGTGAAAAAAGAAAAATTAGAAATAATTATTTTTTAAATATAAAGATAGAAAAAGAATATTATTGAAGCATGAGTACAACTTCTAGATTTTAAAGTGAAAAGGCTAGAAATTTATTTATGCCTATGTGAAATAATTTTATTTTTCTTGTTTCAGCAATGGCTACTAATAATCAGGGCATTGACTATCAGTTTCCTCTTATGGTGAGGATT